GTAAAGATGAGGTGTTGGGGACCGGGGAATTGGAAGTTCTGGAGGAGGTGGAGGGCGTGGGTGGTGTCACGGACATAGGTAGGGAGTTCCTGGACCAGGGGGGAGAAAATGGAGTCTAGATAGTTGGAGATCAGTTCGGTGGGGCAGGAGCAGGCAGAGACAATGGGTCGACCAGGGCATTCAGGTTTGTGGATTTTGGGAAGGAGATAGAAGCGGGCAGTGCGAGGTTGGGGAACGATGAGGTTGGAGGCCGTGGGTGGGAGGTCACCTGAGGTGATGAGGTTGTGGATGGTTTGCGAGATGATGGTTTGGTGCTCAGGGGTGGGGTCATGATCAAGGGGGCGGTAGGAGGAGGTGTCGGAGAGTTGGCGTCCGGCCTCGGCGATGTAGAGGTCAGTGCGCCATACTACAACTGCGCCTCCCTTGTCACTGTTTGACACTGATGTGTGACACCGACATGCGCAACATGTGCCAGGGTGATTTTTGGATGGTAGCATCCTGCTTGGGTGTGTTTTGGGTGCTGGTCAAGTTTTGGATGCTAGCTGTGTTTTTGGGTGCTGGGTGGGTTTTGGCTGCTGGTGGTACTTTTGGGTACTGAGTGGATTTTGATGCTGGGTGTGTTTTGGGCACTGGGTGGATTTTGATGCTGGGTGTGTTTTGGGCACTGGGTGGATTTTGATGCTGTGTGTTTTTGTTTTGGGTGCTAGGTATTTAATTTAGGTGCTGGGTGCTTTTTTTGCGTGATAGGTGTTTTTTTGGGTGCTGCTAGTCTTTGGTGCTTGGGGTTCTGGGTTCCAGTGAGATTTGTGTGTTGGGTGGGTTTTGGGTGCTATGTGTGTTATTTGGGTGGTTGGTGTTATGAGTGTAGGGTGTGTTATTGTGAGGTCGGTATTGTGGTGCTGGGTATATTATGCGGGTGGGTTGGTGTTGTGGGTGCTGGGTATATTATTTGGGTGGTTGCTGTGGTGGGTGCTGGGTATATTACGTGGGCAGTCAATGTTGTGGGTGCTGGGTATATTATGTGGGTGGGTGGTGCCTGGTATATTATGTGAGCGGTCGGTGTTGTGGGTGCTGGGTATATTATGTGGGTGGTCAATGTTGTGGCTGCTGGGAATATTATGTGGGTGGTCATTGCTGTGGGTCCTGGGTATATTATGTGGGTGGTCGGTGTTGTGGGTGTTGGGTATATTATGTGGGCGGTCAATGTTGTGGGTGCTGGGTGTATTATGTAGGTGGTCGGTGTTGTGGGTGCTGGGTGTACTATGTGGTGGTCAGTGTTGTGGGTGCTGGGCGTGTTATGTGTTTGGTTGGTGTTTTGGGTGTTGGGTATATTGTGTGTGGGGGTCAATGTTCTGGGTGCTGAGTATATTATATGGGGCATTGGATTTGTGGGTGCTGGGTATATTATGTGGGAGGTTGGTGTTGTGGGTGCTGGGTATATTATGTGTGGGGTTGGTGTTGTCAGTGTATAATATCTTATGTGGGTGGTTGGTGTTCTGGGTGCTGGGTGAGTTATGTGGGTGGTCGGTGTTCTGGGTGCTGGGTGAGTTATGTGGGTGGTCGGTGTTCTGGGTGAGTTATGTGGGTGGTCGGTGTTCTGGGTGCTGGGTGAGTTGTGTGGGTGGTCGGTGTTCTGGG